TCTACATTTCACAAAAGCGTCCTGCTAATGATTATCTGAAGCATCCTTTGACATCTGAAGTTTCATTATGCTAAACTGTGCAGCAACTGGCTAATGACTGTGTGACATGCAGTGTTGTTACACTTTGTTGAAGTATTTTTTCTTTATTAAATTATGTGTTTAACAAAACTGCAAAGGGGTTTCGAAGTTACACTTACAAATTCAGGACTTTGCAGTGCAGGTTTGAGGTTCAAATACACTGAAGTATACAGCTTCTTCTAGAGGAGGTAGAAGTTATGATAGCACAACAACTTGGATTTGAACAATCTTTGAACTACCAGAGACTCATAACTTTCCTCTCTAATAAAAGTTGGGCAAAAAAAAATAAATCCCAAGCATGACAATATATCAGAAGATACAAAGTTGGAACATAAACACTGTATGTTGTATAGTAGTACTGTCAGCATGCTTGGCAGCTGCTTTGTGGGGTTATGTGATGTACTGCATTTGATGTGAAATTGACTTTCCAAAAAGTGTCCAGCGTCAGCAGGACAGCAGTATTTCCAGTCTGCACAGAAACTAGACAGAAGCACAAATGTATATACCTGCTAACAATAAGCACTAGTCCCCACTGCGTGCCCTGAAACTTTATAAATCTAACATGACCCATATGGCCCTTTAAGCTACATTGCTCTGAAATGGTTGGTCAGGTAACTGTTGCTAAGTTTGTTCCAAGTTTATCCGTCTCCCCTGTTGTTCATTTCTCCTCATTTCACCCTGTGATGACGACAGAACAGACAGAGTCAGGATCGAACAGGCAGACAGACAGATAAAGGGGGTCTGTTTTGCTAAGCCGGGGGCCGGCTGCAGGCTGGGCCAGGTAATGGAGTCATAATGGGCTTTTAACAGCCGCACAGCTGATGGTGGTGTTTGTTCTTCACTGAAAAAAGCAGTGCAAACAGGAAGTGCAGCATGGAGACATCCCCAGACACTGGACAGGCTGGGATGAGTCATGACGCCTGCTGATGACAGCTACACAAAAAACACGCTCCAATAAAGACGGCTAACCTGCCTGTCATAAACCCCTCGCACTGTGCCAATTCGGTGGAAATTCCCTTTTTTTTTTTCTTTGGCCCACACTCCGGATCAACCTAATGGTGCTAAATTACTTCAGCCTTGGTGCACAGGTCAGAGCAAGGTTTAAGTGCATCAGCAATGAGTTCAAAACTGATAAGAAAATGGGATTTTTACACACCATCTGAAGGCCGTGCTGACTGAGCAAAGAACCAGTTGAACACTAAGTGTCGAAGTGGAATCTACACATGAATACTGAGTTACACATTAGCAGCTTTTTGATCAATCAGACAGAATACACATGATCATAGAGCTCTGATTTTCTCTTTTTCCTATCCAAACAAACCTTCATTTAAACAAACTGCCCTTCAACTTCAGCTTCTAAGCCTTTACTCATCTTCTCATGCACAGTCTATTTTTATTGGATCAATCAATATAAATACCAAATATCTCTTCATGGTATAAGTATAGCTCAGAAGTATTCACTTTGAACTTAGAGTGTGGGATACACTGCAGTCAGCTCACGTTTTCGGCTGCCTCTTGCCCACAATTTTAAAGAGATTTCCACTTAAACCTGCATCCTAATACATTCAAATTTCAATCTATCTGCCTGAAGCACCCCTGTAAAGAGGCTGAGGTTAAACAACAGAGCAGTGTAAAAAAACAACAACAACAACAACAAAAAACTGTTTTTCATTATAGGCCAGGCCAATAAATACTGAAGCAATAAGCAAGCAGGGTGCAGTAAGCCACTGTATGTCATTTCATGCCTGTGCCTGGATGCTGCCCCTGAAGGCTGTGTGGGTTGTTGCTTTAAAGGCTACATTTTGTCAATAGAGGACCTTTTAGATCTGATCCAAGATAGTCAATAAAGTGTTCAACGCAGGCAACGTTTTTACTGTAGCTGCACAGGACGCAACACATTTATTTGCTAAATGAAGCCTCTGCAAGGTGTAACTTTTTTTTTTGCGCAGAAAACCAGCGAGAACAACTAGAGAGAGCGAGAGTACAGTGGCTCTCTGATACTGCACATGGACGCATGATTAGATACTCAAAGAAGCTGCTGTGACATAACATCTAATATAATACATACGTGCACACATGCACATACATTGGTGGACAAACACAGCACAGTGAGGCTGATAAACTGGTTTGTACAACATCAGATCAGTACTGACTTTTCTTTGAAATTCAGCCAGTTGGTGCCTTTCACCCTCTAAAGCAATGATTTTGTATTTGTTATATAAGCACTGTGCTGACTATAGAGGAAAAGATCTAAACTGCTACAAAAGACACCATCAGATCAGATCCTTGCACATCTATTACTGTACGTCCATTATTCTTCTTAGTAGTATAACAGTGACTTTGGCACTTTTATGTAATAGCAGTTTTGAAATAATTAAGTAGGCGTCGCAGTTAAGCCTAGTAAATTAGGGTTAAACAATTTTTGGAAAATATAATAAATTATACTCCTCATTGAAGCTGGTATCAGGCATTGTCACAAATTATACTGTGGCTTGTTGCTAATGTGCTAACATTTTAATGAAAAAAGTTTGTTTTAATACTTCAAACATTTAGTAACACTACATTAGTATGAACTAAAAACTACTACATAAATGTCAATATGTGATAATAACTGTGAACTGCCAACTCTTTACTGTACTGTTGATGTACTTTAGCTGCTAAAGCTAACATTATCTAAACAGACAGTTAATGTTAAGACATTATTTAACCATTTAGCTGTAGTAGATGTAGTGTAGTAATAGTTGTGGTAACACTAGTGACAGTGGTGATAATGGTAGCAAAAGGACAGAAATTATGTAATATGAAGGACTATGAAACCAATAAATATTTTTATTTTTTCATTATCTCTTGACTGTCTTGTCCCTCAAAATGGCGATTGAATGCATAGGTGCAGTTTTCAGGGGAGATGTAGTTCATTCACTCCCCTCAGTATTTCTAAGTTATGCATAACAAGACAGGTTGATGTTTGAGTATAAATATTTAAAGGCAATAGTGAATGCTTAAATGCACAATTTTCTATTATATTTTGAACTGCCACTTGTGCTTGAATTGTGTGTTTTCCTTTACATAACTAAAGACATATCCAACATAAATTGGTTTTCGAAAGGCACCAATTGGAAACTCAATATTTCATAGGGGACAATGGCTGCTTGATGTGTCCCACCGCGATGCTCAAACGAAATCCACACCCATGATTGAAACATATTGTTTTTTTGGCAAATATAGCAGAAGTTCAATCAGATTCAGTCAGCCATTTACAACTCATGCTGTTCTAACCCTTTCATAAACAGCTAACCGCTATCTCTTGTGCAGTAGCTGCTTCAGTCAGTACACGTGGACAAATCCTTCCTCTCTGTTGCATTTCACCTCAGCTCACCCTGAAAACAATCGAGGCTGACACAGAGAGGTCCAAACAGGCTGCACTTGTCTTCCATTCCCCGTCTCTTGAACACTCAATGCTCCTCCTAGACAGATCTGGCCAAAGACTTGACAGTCTTATTCTCCTGCAGTAAAAACAACCAACATTCCCTTTTGCCAAACTTCTACCTCTTCTCATTGCTGTGTATGATTACTTTCCTAGCTCAACATTAATTCTAAACAGGTAGCTATGAGAGGCCAAAGAACTGTTGGCCTGGAGTTGATGTTTAGCTCTGGGACTTTGGCGACGGCACATATTGTATGTGACGGGAGGAAAAAAGTAATTTCCTTCACCCTAGGAGGCCCCTGAAGGCGGCATCTTTCCTCAGTCTGTCATCAAAGTTGATTGAAGACAACAGGAAGCCTCAGAGACACTCATTTTTTTCATTCAGAACAAAAAAAAATAGTGTTGATTTTGTGGTATCAGAAACTTGTAATTTCATTTAGGTCTTGACGGAGCTTTTCTGTTCATATTTTCCACATGCAGTGCACTTAAATTACAGTATACAGTCAATCCCAGGCAGGAGAAAATGCAATCTGATTTTCCTCTGATTAGATTGAATTTGAGCTGTTGCCTTGTTACAAAGGAAGGATTCAGAAAAATTTCACTAGTAATTGCACATTTCTTCTGGGCCCAGGAATAATCTCATTCATTCTAATTTGTAGAAGCATCTACCCGTGAAACAAGTCAATTTAGGGCCAACTTGCAGACGTCCTCTTTCTTGTGCATCAAACTCTGCCCTCATCTGCTGAGCGGCAGTATTACAAATGCACTTTATGACCTCTGGCCTCTTACACCAACACGCCACCGTGATTGTGATTTGAAGGGAAAAATTCTGAAAACTGTGAGAAAAGACTGAAAACTTTGAGGAACACTAACTTCTGAGATTTCCTCAGGAATGGCTGGATTCCACCATGAAGTTTCACTCATCTTTCATAGCTTCTCACCAGCCGGATTAGCAACATCTGAGTCGGCCTTTTGTTGTTGCTTATGGAAAAAAACTGATGATTCAAGATAGCTAAGTTTAAGCAGCTACTGTGGTAATGTGGAATTAAGGATGCAATTTCAGATTCCACTGATTAGTTAGTGTCACATTTTCGTGTTGTGCTTTATGACTCAGGCTCCAGTGAGAAAAGCAGAAGAAACTAGCAAAAAATCTATATTAATATGGACAACAACAACAAAAAAAACCTCAGCAACTTTTCCAGTTTCTAGCTTGCATTTGCATGATTACATATCCACAATACACCAATGCCTGCCTGCACTGAGCCCATTTGTTGATTAGCGAGGGGACATATAGAGCACATGCTGAGGGGCATGTCTGCTCAAAAATTCTCCCTCATTATGCATGCTTACAACTCCCGTTCATAGATTATTTAATCAGCTACACGTGTAAAAAAGACGAGCCTATCTCCTTTTTGTGTGTGTGTGTGTGAGGTGGGAGTTCAGATCAACATCAATATGCATGTAAAATTCAAATTTGTAGGGCATCTTGACCTCTTACCAAAGACTTCATCTTGCGACTCCGGTTCTGCTGCTGCCGTTGCTGCTGCTTTGGGTTCAGGTGACGAAGCCTTTAATAAGAACACAAAAACAGATTGAAGAGGTGAGGCGGTGAGGTGCCATGGCAACAGAGCAAAGACAGAGATCAACAGACAGCAAGAGAGAGAAGGGAGAAGGAGAGAGAATGAGAGACGCTCATTTAGGTTCTTGGGTTTTATGAGAGCAGAATTACACTGAAGCTCATTCATTTAGCATTCAGAAGAAGGAGGTGTATTTTTTTTAAATCACACTGAGATTTGCCTGTTTTGATGTCAATAGCAAGCTATGTATATGGGATCTGTCATTTTTCTTAGAATTTATTCTCTAAAAAGAAGGGATTTCCACCTCAGGGACTTTCTCTGTTCATACATCATTACAGTGACTGACATTTTTAGTCAAGATTTTAAAGCTGCGACCTTTTGATAAAGTTACTGTTATGAAATATCAACATTCAACACTGTCACAAACAGGATAAAACAACACAGGCCTAAAGTATTTCCCACATAATATTTTGGATTTTAGATGGAGATCGTTGAGATATAATGTGACATCATCTAAACCGTCAAGTTATCCATGAAGGTTCCATATTGCTCCCCTTTTTCAGCAAATCAATGAAAGTCTCACATTTCGCCAGAATGTCTCAATTTATCAGCTCAAAATAACGCAAAGATGGTTCATGTCACCATTAATATATAATCCCTGGTTTGAGGCCTGTTCTAAACAAACTGTTTCAGTGTCTGTAGCTTTAAATACAGCTGAGCTGCTGTCGTCACTGCCCCCTTCAGGAAGAAGACTCTCTGCATATATGAACAACAGCTTGGAGCAAAATAGGTGACCACAGCTGACATAGATGTGAATCAAAGAGATCAGGACTTTTATTGGTGAGTTTGGTCAGTTAAGATTTTCAGAAAATCTATATTTTGGCCGTGCAGAAGAACAGTTGACTGCCTATTAACGTGTAGTCTCAGTCACTATTTCATATTTGTTTGGTTGTCTAACAGCAGAAACAGAAAATGATGTTAATGAGAACAGCTTTAGAGAGCATTTGGCTGTATTAAAATGCAGAATATGTACACAGAAAGGAAGAGAAGCACACTGATGTAAACACTGGCTGAGCTTAGACTGCAAACACAGTAACCCACCCAGTGCTTGCATATAGGTTTCAAATCGGTCTTAAAGTTTCCACCATCTCTAAACGTACCTAAGCATTACAATTTCCACAGAGCTCTGACCTGTGGCCATACAATCAAAGCTAATAGTAACATAAGCTGCACAACACACTAACACGAAGAATTTTCCCATTGTTTATAAAATATTTTAAAAATGACATTAATTCACTGGATCCTCAGTTTCTCAGATGCTGGGAGTGCATAAAGATTCTTGTGTTCACTCTTGTAGCAAAAAGCAGAACATTTGGTGTGCTTGTGGAATGGCAGAAATACAAGTCTTCATATTTTAACAGCGTTTTTTTCTTTTTTACTCCTTCACATTCATAACCACATAAGACAACTAAAACATATTTTCACTGTTTTAACATACTAAGACTAAAGGCCTATCTTCATACACTGTTCTTTTCTCTGGCAGAAAAAGTGCAGGCAGTTTGATGGGGAGCACTTCATCAACAAAAGCACTCCAACTTTAACAACAACATCTCGGCAATATATCACCACTCCAACCACCACTATACGCTCGACTAGCATCGCCTCTCATTGCTATAACTTCTCTCTGACATATCATAACAGCTTGCTATAGTCAGACGCAACCAGCATGAGGTTCTTCTTCATTTTCTTGGGTAAACAGAGTGACGAGCCCCACCCATATGATTTGTGGCCTGAAAAGTAGCGAGTTGCAACACCAGCATCTTCCGAATAACTTAAGACGTTTTTAAATAGAAGTGGCCATACAAAAAATGATCTGGAAAATACGCTTGCACTCAAAAAAAACAAGCGTGTTTCACTTAGCACTTAGCTACTGTAAGCATGTGTTAAGAGTGGAAATAGGCTGTTGCGATGGTAAATTCAAACCAGAAGATAGCTGTTAGTAACATGGCCAGCTTGTCCAGGCTGTCAGCCGGGATAAGAGCTGCAATCCTCTCCCTAGTTGACTAATTTGATACAGATCTACAAACAAAATCTGTGATTTCATTAAAAAGTTTTGCATTGTGATCACAGTTGTTTGAAATCCAATTAGTTTGTAATAAAACTTGGCAAACCATTGATCATGCAGTTTGCCTCTGCAGTGGGACACAGGACAGTCCATTGTAGGTGAATTGTGCAGTTGGCAGATGTTTGTTCTGTCACTTTTGCTCAATACTTTAACAGTTATGACAGCAGCATAATGGCTAACATGCAAAGCACCCAGGGAGTAAGTGGCATTGTAACTGTTACAATACAAAAGTGCTGTGTCTTATCAGGATTTAGAGATATGAAGCATTCATTCAGCTGCAACTCCCTGCCAGCTCTGGTCTGCTTTGAATACACTAAGCCATAACTTAAACTGTGCAAGCTTAATCATTATACCCACCTGTACTGGCTATTCTGAGTCACTCTGCTCTGTCACTGGCCCTGTAGTTCCTTAATCACCACTATGTTTCTGTTTCTATGTAGTGCATCCGAGTGAACTAATTCTAGTCTTCAAGTTTCACAAATCCTCTTACTGATTCCTTCCTCCCTTACCGCTACAGTTTCCACTTCCGTCTCGGTTTGCCAACGTAGAGAATCAGCACAATCAATCTAAACCTGTGGGCGTGCTGCTCGGTAATACGTGCAAACAGAGAGAAGTGCAAATATGACGCAGTCCCCTAAGCATCTTCAGTCTCTGTCTTTCAAACTAGTCATATGTAAACTTCAGAAAAGTCAGGCGTAGGCAATGTTTCAAAGCAACTGATGGAGCAAACGTTATTTTGCTAGTTTACTTATCAAATCAGTCATGTCTGCAGGAAATGTGTAGCCCACTGTTGTCTATCTCAGTCTGAGTTGAATGAATATTTTTACCTTTATCATTATAATGTGTTGTGGGGGAATGACAATAGAAATTGTCAGCACAATGAATACTTGTCAGTTAAACTATTTAACTTTTTCTATTCAGTTCCTCCAAGTGTACTAATTCTAATCTTCAAGGTTCAGAAATCCTCTTACTAGATTCCCTCCTCCTCCCCTGTGATAACAAAGTACAATTTACAGCTCCAGTTTCCACTTCCGTGTGGGCTTGCCAACACAGGGAATCAACGCAGGCATTTGAAAACTGTGGGCACACTGTTCACTATTAAACAAGGAAAGAGAGAAGTGCATCTGTGACGCAGTCCCATAAGCTGAGCGCAGGCGGGAGGTGGAGTGTGGTGAGCAAACACTTATCTATGCTAATCACAGAAAGGTCAACGAGTACCATGCTTTTGAAAATATCTGTCCGTCTAATTATGTAAACAAATCATGCGCATCATTTTGCTATGAAGTGATTCACATTAAATGAACGGGTTCCGTAGCGGACTCCCAGTTTTCACAAGTTTGATAAACAGCCTATAGAAGCTGACTAGTTGTCCAATGAGGAAGAATTACTCTTAAGAAGACTAATTTCAGTGTAAAAAAAGTTATTTGCTGAGTGATAATTATCAAGCAACACCTGCTTAGAGCAAAGCGAAGGGAAATATTTCAAGAGAAGCTCCCTAAGGAGGAGAAGATTAATTACATTCATGATTGGAGACAAGGATTTTCCCTAAGTTTTGCTATTAAAAATCCAATAGCAAACTAATGTGTGAATGTGACAACAATCAAACACACTTTGAATTTAGAAACTGCTGGTTAGCCGATTCTATGTTCTCCCTGTGCCTGCACATTAAGCCTGCCGCTTTATTAGTGATTCTAAATCGGCTGTGCAATCAACTAACAACCTGTCTGCGGTGTAAACCACCTCTTGTTTAACGAAAGCTGGGACAGGATGCAACACCCTGCAATCCACTTAGAGAATACAGCAAGTATACATGATAGATGGATGGAATAATTAGACATGATAGAAATCAAACAAAAAGTAAAACTGCTTGGGTTAATACGGTTTTTATATTTTGTGTATTTTGCTCCACTTCATCAAAATATTTTCAAGTTTTTGTCTTATCTTTGTAAGCTGAAGTAAAAGTGAAGACCTGCTGTCTGCTTGTTTTTTGCATGTCTAAAATGTCCAAATTTGCACTGTGATTAATATGGTAACATATGTGATGATAAACAAGATGAAAACAGAGGTGGACGCCAAAAAAAAAAAAAGCAAGGTAGCGAAAGCAAATCAGTGAAAGAAGACCAGCTAATCGTGGCTTTTTGTGCATCACAAAGCTTGCATTATCACTGTTTTCCTACAGTCTGGCTCATTTACAATATTTTCTTAACCATTAATGCACTCAGCCCTCAACCTTTGTTGGGACTCTGTAAATGCAAATCCACCCACATAGATGTTGTCGCTGCGCTTTTAGTGTAGTGTAAAAAATTAGCAGTCCAAACAACAGATTCACATTCCAAGCACTGAGTCACTGGTGCTTGGATGGTTCTTGAACTAATATCATTGGTCTGAGGAGACTGATGGACCTGAATCGACACGAACTGGGCTTTTAAATTTGAAAAAACAAAACAACAAAAACAAAAACAAAAAAAAACAATTACATTAAGTGAACAGTAAAGATAGGGGCAGCATTTTACCCGCAAGCACCTCAGATTTTAGGTCATACATGAAAACCCGGCCCTCATTATTACAAAATGGCATGGTAGGATGAAATAAAAGAAGAGATATGTTGGCAACTCTTCCAAAGTGAACCTGAGCAACAGCTTGATGCAGTCTCTGCTGCCGGCGTGACTTCACACCTACTCGCAACTGGTGGCTTATTAAATATAACTCTCATGGAGCAGAGCTACACAGAGCTTAGGGATGCAGACGGCGAAGCATCAGCTGACCACGTGACACGCAAAAGCAGATCAGGACAGCGGGTCGGTTGGGGTGGCACTTGCAAATTATTCATGCTTTCTTGAGAAGAGTCTGCTCTTCTGTGTCTGGT